TTTCCTTACGTGCAGTGGTTGGTGATCTCCACTTCTCATGTATTTCCTCCCCGTTGCATTCTTCTTTCTCAGCATCATGGCAGGACTCTCCACCCAGATCCGGTCAACCTACGTCTCAAGGACTGGCTCCTTCATGGCTCCATGATGCTGAAATAGCCTACTACTAGACAGAGTAAAGCAAATACTAATTAATAGTCAACAGGAGTCTCCCAGAAAAACCTACACCTATAAATGGAAAAGATTGAGTGGGTATAGGGAAGACACATCATTTCCCCCTTGCCCCCACCACAGCTTTACCAATTGTACTGGACTCCTCCTTCAGCTACAGGAGTCAGGACTCTCCTTCAGTTCCATAAAATCTACGCTGCCATGATTGCCACGTTTCACAAATTTACGGACAGGTGCTCGTTTTTATCACATCCCATGACTAAATTATTCTTAATGAGACTCCAAAACATGTTCCCTGCAGTGAGACCACCTACTCCTTTGTGGGACTTCAACCATGTCCTTAAGAGTCCCACAACTGCTTTTTGAACCACTTTCTACTCACTCGTAGCTATGCCTCTCCATGAAGGTGGCCTTCCCCTGATGGACCTCTTTGCCATAGTGCAGAATGCAGTGCCACAGTTTCTGTTCCAGACACCTAGCAGACAGAGTCGCTGGCAGATACCTTCCTCATGCCATGGTTAGGGCGGCCAGTTCTACAAATTTCCGCAGATTCCCTTCATCACCCAAATCCTGACAAAAGTCAGAGAGGATAGGTCCAAGAACTTTCTTGTCACCAGCGTGGTACTGTCAGCATTGGTTTGCCAGTCCGAGCCTCACAGGGTGCTCCTTGTGGCCTTTCAGGTCGGCTGGGACCTGCACTCTCAGGAGCACCTTTTCCACCCGGACTTGTCATCATTCCACTTTAGAGCATGGCTGTTCTGTGGCTGAATATGGAGCACAGTGGGGAAGCTGTAAGCTGTCAGCCATGCAGACACGTATATCCAAATGTGCTTGTCAGCCGAAATGGTCAGGGCAGTGTGTGCGTGTGTGTGTTACACCCAAGTCTTCAACTGCTGAGACGCAAAGTTCTTGTTGCAGTGGGCAGCCTAGGAGGCTGGAGGGCGCCCCGGAAAATAGTTTAATGTCTATGACTTTACTGCTAGGACCGGGGTCCTGTCGCAGAGGCAGCCAACAGGCTCTCAGATGCCCCGGTGTGTGTGCGCGCTATACACCCGAGACTTCAACTGCTGAGACTGGGGTCCCTTGCAGCAGGCAACCTGGAGGAGGTTGACAGGCGCCCCAATGAGTTTATAGGGAGAGCTTATAACACCTCAGATTTTAGCTGCTAGGATACAGAAATCCCTTCTCAGCGGGCAGCCTGGGGAGGCTGAGAGGTGCCCCAATGGATCTGTCCCCTGGAAGCGACACGATCCAAAACGCCCAAGCTCTTCCTATACCTGTCCCTTTTGACCGGCTGAAGTTCTTTTGTGTTCGGTTCGGGTACAGCAGCACGGGTTCAAGTCAGAAGCTTGACACGCACTGGCTTATTTATAGGAGAAAGAAAGAGAAAAGAAATAAAGAAACTTGGTTCAATGTATATATATTTATAAGTGAATGAGGGCATCCCACTTATTTCCAAAGTTTATAGCTAAATCACCTTACCAAAGGCAGTTTACAATAGAAATGAAGCAGTTTGCCTTAAACTATAATACAGTAACTAAACTTATAACAGAGACAATTAGAGTGTACACATAAAGAAAACACATTGTAGGTACAATTGTCACCCCTGCATTCCAGACTTGGTGTGGCCAGCGTCTTTCTCTCAATCCCTCGGGAAGAAGTAGGGCGAGGTTGGGCGTCCCACGGACCTCGGGAGACTATCAATACCTGCCAGCAGGTGTAGGTGATTGGAGCTCAAATGGGGTGGGCAACTAAACCCTCTTTATACCCCTTGGGTCACATGGGCTTCTTCCTGGTCTCAAGTGGCCAATTAGGAAAAATGGCTTTGAACGCCAAGTTTCCCACGAAGGGTGCAAAGCATAATTCACACCTGGGAAGATGCAGACAATGGGCACCTCTGGTATGTGATGGGCGAAGATTCCTCTCCCGAGACAGTGCAGGCGTGTCAATTACTGATACTAGCCATCACGGCGACGGGAGGCCTCCCAGTCGTCAGCTAGCCCATTTACTGTCTGGTTTCTGTTTATGGTAGAGTCAGGGACAGGCACCACACCTGCGTTCCCAGGGCATCAAAGGCTGACTGCCTTTCTCTTGCTCTCTGGAGGGGGGGGAAACAAGATGGGGTTCGTGGAAAAACAAGATGGGGTTTGTCTGGCTACATTGCTTGTGTTTTGGTGTGGGCTGAGCAAAGAGGTCTTGTACCTAAAGAGGCTCCTATCCAGAGCAGCCTATATTATCTTCTCCACTTGAAAGAGGAAGGCTTGGCACCTAGCAGCAATCTTGGCTTTACACTCATCAGCGTAAGGCAAGTTGGTATTTTCACATGATGGCCAGATTCCCAAGGGATCTTGTCTTTTTCCCTCAGTGGGACCTTAATCTGGTCCTCAAGGCTTACAGACCACTCTTCAAGCCCATGGCTTACATGCTCCATTCTTCCGCTATCCTTGAAAGTGGTGATTACTTTGGTTATGAGAGTCTCCAAATTGCGTGCCTTGACTTAGGAGCCCCCATACTTGATCTTCTTAAGGATGTGTAAATGGTTAATCAGTTACCTAGTAAGCATCACCCTTACCCAGGTGATGCTTACTGGGTAACTGGCTGCTCCAGTGTGGCTGCGTCTTCCTCTACTCGCTAAACCCACAGAAGTCTGCTCAACAGTACCCTTCCAGCTAAATACAACCATCAATGGCTGGCCCCTGTGGCTGCGCTGTTGTCAGTAGGGATGTTAAATATTGAGTAATTGACTAATCAAATAGTGGATGCATTTTGCATCGACTATTCGACTAGTCGATAGGGCGTCTCTGCCTTTGAAGTGTAGCAACAGCCCTAGGACTATTGCTACACTTCAAAGGTAAAAGTGCCGCATGGAGCCTTGGGTCAGTGGGGGACTCCCTCGCTGACCCCAGGCTCTGTGTGGTGCTCCCACTTTGAAATGCCGTGGGGAGCCCCACCAGTGGCATTTCAAAGTAGCAGTGCTGCACAGAACCTGGAGTCAGCAGGGGAGTCCCTAGCTGATCCTGGGCTCCACACCACACTGCTGCTTTGAAATGCTGCGAGGAGTCTGCTAGGCTATCCATGACATTTCAAAGCGGCAACACAGCATGGAGCCTAGCGTCAGCAGGGAGTTCTTGGCTGATCCCAAGCTCCATGCGGCCCTGGGCTGCACATGGTGTTCTGAAGTGGCAGCACCGTGTGGAGCATAGGGTCTAGCCCTAGTCTCTATGCGGCACTGCCGCTTTAAAGTACCCCCTCTTCGTCCTGCTCCCTTGCTGCCTCTTTCTGATAAAGGCAGCAAGGGCAGGGGAAGTGACTAGTTGACTAGCCTGTCGATTAGTCGTTCACGTCCCTAGTTGTGGGAGGGTGGGGTCCTACTGCTCACCACAGGTGGTGTTCGCTGTGAGTCCCTCACCACAGCTGGGCTGCAAAAAGGGTGGAAAAGGGCTGCCTGCTATGGCTGGACAATATCAGGGAGCTTAGTCATCCAAGTTCTGGGAATCCATTGCTGCCCAGCCACTAAGAGCTACTTGGGGGCTTTATTTAGCTGTGGCTGAGAGCTGTGGGACTGCCTGCTGGGAGCAGTCCAGACCTGGGGCTGAAAATGTCATAGAGGTCTCTGGAAGCCACAGATTCTGTGACCTCTATGACAGAACGATAGCTGTGTACAGTTTGATTTGGTCACTTTTACTCAGTTTTGTTTCACTGGCTTAAACAGTATACATCATGAACCTTACAATGTGATTGCCGCCAGCTTTTGTCTTATCAGCTAAAGATTGGAAATAATATATTGCTGTCAGAATCTATGAAAGCATAATGCATCTGTCATTTCCCTCCTACTCATGCTTTTAAGGAGAATTCACTTTCTTAAAGTAAAAGGGGGGGGGGGTGTTTATTGAAAAATATGATTAGAGTAGACGTTTTAAATATTAAAAATGGTTCACAAAGCTGTAGATTGACACTAACTACTGTACTTCAGGATAGAATTTAATTGTGTTTAAAAGTTCTATTTAATGAAGTGGCCAGTAAATATTTTCATGAAATGGTTTTTTCTAGGAAGGGGAGATATCAGAATGTAGTTGTTTTACATATCATCCATTCTGTAAAGTTGTTGTTACATAATGAAAGCTATTGTGGAAAGCCATGAAGAAGAAATGCAGATTTTGAATATATTCCTGTGTGGGAAGAAAGGGTATGTGTGTAGCTTTCTGAGTTTTTTTTTTTTTAAAACAGCCTGTAGACCATTGCAGTACAATAGATTAACAATTATTTTAATTTGTTTGTGCGCATGCAAACCCATTTGCAAACCCAAATGTTAAAATTGTTCAACTGGTACACAGGTTACAGGTTTACCGTATGTGTTTGGACCTGCAGTATTTATGGACATGTCCATGTGAGGGCTGAAAACACTTCTTGAATGTGCAAAGAAAAGAGAAATAGAAGTAAAGCAGTCATTAATACAAATTTAATATGTGCTGACTTGTGTCCAAGGATATAATGCATAGCATATGCTCATTTATTTATTTTCTGATACATTTTAAACCCTAGCGAATAGTGGGAAAAATGCACTACATCTGGCTTCAAAGTAATTGCATTAGTAAAATTAGTTGGATCGCAAAAACATGCAAATTTTGTCCAAACAGCTTTTTTGTAAATGGAAAGTTGGCTGCTCACACCACTTCAGTGTGCAATATTAAGTATCTAATCTCACTGGAGCAATCCCTACATCAGTAGTTTCTAAACATCTGGGATGTCTTATAAATATTGGGTTTTAATTGAATTTAAGTTTTTAAAGGCTTGTCCATAGTGGTGTTGTCATTACTTTATCTTTTTATCAGCAGCTATGCAGCAAGTTTTGGATAACCTTACTGATCTGCCCACATCAACAGGAGCTGAAGAAATAGACCTTATTTTCCTCAAAGGAATTATGGAGAATCCTATTGTAAGATCACTTGCTAAGGTATTCAGATTTACTGATAGTTTTAATTAAATTTGACACTTTGGATATTTTCATTTGGAATTGTCAATCCAAAAACTGATAGCAGAAAATTGTTAGCTTTTATTCAGTGCATATCTAACAGTGGTGAGGAAATTATGAAAACAGATTTAGTCCTGGACCCCAATGCTGTGATCCTTTCTTCATCATTTATCAAACTCCGTTTCATTTCTAGCACTGAGAAAGGGGTTGGAAGATGAAAATAAGTTCATTATTTGTATTATCAAAGAGTCTAGGAGCTCCTGTTACAAACCAGGATCTACTCTGCTGGGCATTGAACACACTAGGGCTGTCACTAGACTGGCCAATTTTTCCGGAAAATCAGACGCTTTTCCGGAAAACTTGCCACCTGTCTACACTGGCCACTTGAATTTCTGCAAAAGCACTGACTTCCTACTGTAAGAAATCAGTGCTTCTTGCGGAAATACTATTATGCTCCCGTTCAGTCAGAAGTCTCTTTTGCGCAAAGCTTTTGCACAAAAGGGCCAGTGTAGACAGCTTAGATTTGTTTTGCGCAAAAAAGCCCTGATAGCGAAAATGGCGATCTCGGGGCTTTTTTGTGGAAAAGTGCTTTTGCAGAAAAGCATCCATGCCAATCTAGACGCTCTGTTCCGAAAATGCTTTTAACAGAAAACTTTTCCGTTAAAAGCATTTCCGGAAAATCATGCCAATCTAGACGCAGCCTAGGGATGTGAACAACAAATACTTATCGGATACTAAAATGCAGGACAATGTAGCACTTTAAAGACTAACAAGATGGTTTATTAGATGATGAGCTTTCGTGGGCCAGACCCACTTCCTCAGATCAAATAGTGGAAGAAAGTAGTCACAACCATATATACCAAAGGATACAATTAAAAAAAATGAACAAATATGAAAGGACAAATCACATTTTTTTTTTAATTGTATCCTTTTTTTTTTTAATTGTATCCTTTGGTATATATGGTTGTGACTACTTTCTTCCACTATTTGATCTGAGGAAGTGGGTCTGGCCCACGAAAGCTCATCATCTAATAAACCATCTTGTTAGTCTTTAAAGTGCTACATTCTCCTTAGTCCAGGTTGCCTACTTACCTAATTTTCATAATCTAGTTGTTCACCATCAAATATTTTATTATCTCTCCCCTGTACTTGGACTCGGTGGACCATTACACTGCCAATAATTTCCTACATTCTAATCTGAAATAAACAGTCTGCTATAAATCATTAACACTAGAGCTAGTCAAAACTCAGGATTTGTGTTCCACAGGGAAAAATCCTAGAATTTTCTTTTCTCTCAAATTGTTAAAAACAAAAACCCCCACCCCACGATTCTCTGGAAAATTTTGTTCTAGAAATATTAATGTCCTTATCAGTGTTAGACATTGCATGTGGGGACAATAGTTCTGCTCAGGTCGGTTTAAGTATGCTGTTGACTCTGAGTCATAGGAAATGGCTGGAATGAAATATATTGATTCCAATTACTATCATTTTTTGGTGAAGTTGGACAAACGTAAAACTGCTGCCACTGTGAAGAAGCCATAGAAATCCAGGAATCATATTGCCCAGCAAACACTTGATCTTCTTGCCAAGCAGAGAGACATGGCAGCCAAGGGCAATACCAGCCTGGAGTATAAGTTCGTGGATACTAAGCATGCTAGTTGACTAGTTACTCCCCTCACACTTGCTGCCTCTATCACAGGCAGAAAGAGTGGGGGGAGGAGATGCTTCAAAGTGGCAGTGCTGCATGGAGCCCAGGGCCAGACTCTGCTTCCCACAGTGCTTTTGCCTTTTAAGTGTATCCTAAGTCATCAAGATGTCGAAGGTAGTGTGCTAGCCAGGTAACACCTTTTATTCATATCTTTGTGATGGCCCCACCCCTGCAATCAGCCCTGATGCCAACTTTGTCCACACATCAACACAAGCAATTTCAGCACTGGACCCAACCACATCAGCCACTACATAAGGGGGCTCATGCAACTGCACATCCACTAATGTGATCTATGCCAGCAATGCTTCTCTGCCATGTATATTGGCCAGATTGGACAGTCTCTACAGGAAAGAATTAATGGACACAAACCAGATATCTAAAAGGGCAATACACAAAACCCACCTTTTATTCATATCTTTGTGATGGCCCCACCCCTGCAATCAGCCCTGATGCCAACTTTGTCCACACATCAACACAAGCAATTTCAGCACTGGACCCAACCACATCAGCCACTACATAAGGGGGCTCATGCAACTGCACATCCACTAATGTGATCTATGCCAGCAATGCTTCTCTGCCATGTATATTGGCCAGATTGGACAGTCTCTACAGGAAAGAATTAATGGACACAAATCTGATATCTGAAAAGGCAACATACAAAAACCTGTTGGCGAACACTTTAACCTGCCTGGGCACTCATTAATGGACCTCTAAGTCACCATGTTGTTTCAGACCAATTCCACAAGCCAAATATACAGGGAAGCATTGGAACTTAACTTCATTTACAAGTTAGGGAGCCATCACAAAGGTATGAATAAAGACATCACCTGGCTAGCACACTACCTACCACATCCTAATGACTTAAGTACCCATTGTTTGGTTGATAGAGAAGGTGCAAATTGTTCTTAATCAGCTTCTTGTAATATGAACAGTCTATTTCACTTTTCTCCTCTCCCCCCCCCCCCCTCCAATCTCCTATTTATTTTGGAACTGGACTTTTAATACTTCATTCATCTGAAGAAGTGGGTTGTACCCACGAAAGCTCATACCACCATCTACATGTTTTGTAATCTTTTAAGGTGCTGCTAGACTGTTCATTGTTTTTTAAGTTTTTTCCAAATATTTAATCAGCTAGCAAAGAAAGATGTTACACAATCCAGTGGCTGGAATTTGAAGCTAAACTGATTCAGACTGAAAAGAAGGCATACATTTTTAACGGACAATAAAAATTTGAACAACTTACCAAGGGTGGTTGGTAGATCTCCATCACTGGCCAGCTTTAAATCAAGATTGGATGTTTTTCTAAAAGATTATCTAGGAATTATTTTGAGGAAATGTTATGACCTCTGTTATACAGTGAACCAGACTAAATGATCACAATGGTTCTGTCTAGCTTTGGAACTCATGAAAATGTAATAAGTGGACGATGGAGGCTGCAGTCATGGGTTGATTGAGGGTAGGAGTTGATTAGGCAAATGTCTGTGTTTTAGGAACTTTAGGTATTGAAAATATGGTAAAATTAGTTATGGAAACCATTTCAAAATACTCAAAATTCAAGATTTTTAGGTTTTTGTTGTTGTTGTTGTTTTTTAATATAGCACTACTCTACTCTCATCCTGTTTGTTTAGCCAAATGTACAGTGTGTGGTCCACACGTCTGAAGTCAGTGTAGCTCCATGCGGATCAAAGACTCCATGCTTTGATTGTAAGCTTCTCTGGGCTATCCTTATTTGTATCATATATACCATAGAGTACGTTTTATAATGAATATTAATGCTACTTTACAATGTAAAATGGACAATTGAAGAATTCTCACACTCATGATTTAAACTACATTGTGGCAGAGGTGGCCTCATGAACCACCATCTTTTCCTAATTGTCATTGCATGGAGAACGTCCCCACCCATTCACACTTCCCACCTCCATACCTGTGGCAGCTCTAGCAGTTGCTTAGGTGGAAAGGTAGTTCATGTATCTTTAGCTATCTCTTAATGCAAATAAGCAGATGAAAACAAGGAGTTGAGCACTATGTGACAGACCAACTCAACATGAATCACTACGAGTAGTCCTGTAGCACTGTAGAGACTAATATACAGTAAACTTCCGATAATCCGGCACCTTTATCACCCAGGGGATGCCGGATTATCAGATATGCTGGACTATCAGAAGGGAGGGGCTATGAAGGGTCTGGAGTGGGGTGGGAGGGGATGCTACCCCAGGCCCCTCATAGCCCCCCCTTACGATAGTCCGGCTCTGCCCCAGGCGTCCCTGATTAGCTGCTGCTGGTCAGTTCCAGCAGCAGCTGAATTAGGGACGCCTGCAGCAGAGCAGCTGGAATGCTGTGGGGTTGGTCTGGTAGCACCGACCCTTGGTACTGCGAGACCAACCTGGCAAGCACCCCAGCTGCTCTGTCCCACGTGTCCTCAAGTCAGCTGCTGCTGAAACTGATCAGGGGCTGATTCCAGGAAGCCCGGGGCAGAGCAGCTCTGCCTCCAGCTTCCTGGAGTCAGCCGCTGGTCAGTTTCAGCAGCGGCTGAATCCGGGACAGCTGGGGTGCTGCTGGGTTGGTCCCGCAGCCCCGAGGGGCAGCGCTACTGGGACAGAGCAGCTGGGGTACTGCCCAGTTGGTCCTGTAGCGCTGCCCCTCGGGGCTGCGGGACCAACCTGGCAGCACCCCAGCTGCTCTTGGGGACGCCTGGGGCAGAGCAGCTTGGGGTGCTGCCGGGTTGGTCCTGCAGTGCCAAAGGACAGCGCTGCGGGACCAACCCGGCAGGACCCCAGCTGCTCTGCCCCAGGGGTCCCCGATTCAGCCGCTGCTGAAACAGATCAACGGCTGATTCCAGGAAGCCTGGGGCAGAGCTGCTATGCCCGGGGCTTCCTGGGATCAGCAGACGCCTGGGGCAGAGCAGCTTGGGGTGCTGCCGGGTTGGTCCTGCAGTGCCAAAGGACAGCGCTGCGGGACCAACCCGGCAGGACCCCAGCTGCTCTGCCCCAGGGGTCCCCGATTCAGCCGCTGCTGAAACAGATCAACGGCTGATTCCAGGAAGCCTGGGGCAGAGCTGCTATGCCCGGGGCTTCCTGGGATCAGCACAGGCACGGTGGTTTTTACAGCACAGGCACGGTGGTTGACTTTCAAATGTGAATTGTATGCCTCATTTTTTGTTAAGTTTATCACCCTGGAAGTGATGTTTTAGAAACAAGCATCTTTTCCTTCTTTGGAAAGAGCTTGTGTTGTATGGCAAATCACAGTGTAAGAGCTTGTCTAGAAGAAGAGACAAATCTACAGTGCTAGTATGCCACGCAGTAACTCTGAGAAGATCCTGTTACTGTGTACTAAAAGTGCACTTTGATGTACTCTACTTTGAAGTGGGAATAAATCAAAGCACGCTGGAGGATTTTTAGGGCACAGTATTAAGGTCCTTATGGACAGTTACTGTGCAGCATGCTAGTGTTCTGTGGAGGTACACCAGAGCACACTATGCAGCATTTATCTCTGATTGCCCAAGGGCAATTTTTTCATGACCAAGTTGCAAATGCAAGAGAGAGCCCATCATGGAAACTTTTACACTCTTGACTATGGGCATGTCTTCACTGGAAAGCTGTTTTTTCTCTCTCTCTCTCTCTCTCTCTCTCTCTCTCTTCCTGGCATATGACATCATCAATGTCAACAGGCTCGCTCAGCAAAATTAAAGCAGCAAGAGGGAAGGAGGTAGGCAAGCATAGCAAGCAAAGGGTGCAGCCCCCAGTAACCATAAAATCCCCAATTGCATAGTTAGTGTTGCAGCTTTCCAGTGAAGGCATGATTGGATGCAATTATATTTGTATACAGGCAGTCCCCAGGTTATGTACAAGATAGGGACTGTAGGTTTGTTCTTAAGTTGAATCTGTATGTAAATCGGAACTGGCGTCCAGATTCAGCCGTTGCTGAAACTGACGCAGCCCCCAGTAACCATAAAATCCCCAATTGCATAGTTAGTGTTGCAGCTTTCCAGTGAAGGCATGATTGGATGCAATTATATTTGTATACAGGCAGTCCCCAGGTTATGTACAAGATAGGGACTGTAGGTTTGTTCTTAAGTTGAATCTGTATGTAAATCGGAACTGGCGTCCAGATTCAGCCGTTGCTGAAACTGACCGCCAGTTCTGACTTACATGCAGAATCAACTTAAGAACCCCAAGCTTCCCCAAGTCAGCTGCTGCTGAA